GGGACCTCGGGGGAGGGGCCGTTACGGGGCGCGGCCCTGAGGGACGTGGGGGTGCGTGCGTTGGAGGTGGGGGGAAGCCGTGTGCCCGTTCCCATTTGTGTGAGGATTTGTGTGGGGATGACGGACCCCATCCTACCTTCCGCAAAGGGTTCCCCGCTCTGGGCAAGCGTTCGTTTTCGTATCAGCAGAGGTGCTCCTCCCTGGCCCTATATTGGAGACGTTTGTAAAAATCACCGCAGGGTGTTGCTGAGTAGCGCTGGTGAGAGGTTAGATGTGGTATAACAGAGTTCTCATATGAGATGCCGAGTGACTCGGCACACCATTGACTGCTCCGATTAAAATGATATTCGTTGTTTTTACAGTGTTTGAGATATGCACTTCTACCCCACAGAGAGAAAACTCAGTCTGTACTAAACACCCTTTCAGAGGGCTTGATGGAGGTATAGAAGCAAAAAGCAAGTGGAAGTACTCTGATACACTTGAATACATCCGATGAGCATCCTCCAGCAAACACACACTCATGGATGTGTGTCTACAGCGTGAAGCAGCTTCTGCACAGTCTTGAATGCAAAGCTAGTCCTAGCACACATTAATAAATAATTGCACACAATCAGCAGGACAATGTCCAGGAGGACATGTGGAAAGGTCACCCGAGCACTTTTACGTGTTAAAACTGATTTACCATTTCAGTTTTACTAATTACAGTTATAAACTCGATATCATATCTCAAAATGCATTTACCTCCACTGTATGTTGGATTCTTGGCCACTGATGTGGATTATAAATCATTTAGCTATCACTAATGATCAGAAGATCAATAGCGAATGCACTTTAGATCACTAGAGAAAATAGTGGGGTTTTGGTTGTTGTTGTTGTGTCTGTCGTCACCTTCTCATTCTTCTTCTCTCTTCTTCTTATTCTTTAGTTTTCCCTTGTTCTTTCTTCCAAGGATGAATCTTTTGAAATATACCCTGAACACACACTTAATTGCAGCCCAGTCTTGTTCAGGTTCCACTATCCTTTTTCTGTTGGATCAGTGTGATGTCAGCCTGTAAAGCAATACTTTATGGAGTCTATGTTTTTGTTAAGAAGTGTGAGACAATGTGCTGGGAACCCTTCTTAGGCTGCTGTCCTGTGATATAGGAACCAGATGCCATCGATGATGAAGCACAGGAAAGAGTCCTAACACAAGGATTTGGCATCACAGCTGCTGTGTTAGGGCTGCCTTGTTAGATACTTGTTATGCAAAGATTTGCTTTGAAATGAGGACTGCATCTCTGTTTCAGGATAACTGGCAGAATACTATCACAATACTGGACCTTCCCCAAGAAAACTAGATTTATGCTTGATGCTAGAAATGACCAACCACAAAAATGTTCTTTTTATCAAAAGATTCATGCTGTTCTTCTGGTAGAACTGAGTATGTTTATTATACTTTAGGTCTCCTTGCATTGAAAGGTGTTCTTTCCCAACACTAAGCATCATTTCCTTGACAGACGGGGAAATCCAAAATCTACTTCCTTAAATATTTCATCTCCTTTCAGCTTGTTATTGTACTGCTTCTCAGCACTGGAAATTAAGATTTACTTCTTCTGCTCTTGGACTTGGTATCTAAAGCAAATTAATTAATTGGCAGCTTTGTCATTCAGTTTTTCATATTGATAAGAAATCTAGCTTTTTTTGTATTCGCTTCTGCAAAAAGGAAGCTGTTCTGGAGTTGTTTTTAGAGTTCACTGACCATAAACCAGAGCTCATGAGCACTGCAGCCATTACTGATAGCATCTGCAGGTGATAGGTCTGCTGGCTGTGCATATTCATAGCAGCCCCCCATGTGTAGGGGGATCATTTACGTTTTATTCCCCAGTGACAGTACAGGCTTACACTAACTCATAGAGAAGAACTTGCAGTTCCTACCACTGGAGGAGATCATGTCAGAAACTAATCGCAGAAAGACCAATTAATAAACAATACAGTTGGCGCCAAAAGATTTACAGTCTATGTGATTCCCAGTCAATTGGGAAACATCTGAGGATCTGAAGTCAGCATTAAAGCAATGCCAAATAGGCAGCATGTGTTCTGCTGTAAATCATACTCCCAAAGTATCTTCTTTTAGAGCCTTGTCAATACATTCTTTAATGTGATTACACTTGGTACTTATCAGCTCCAAAGAAAAATGGTGTGTCTTGGTTATATCCTTTCTCCTTCAGTCTTAGTCGTCATATATCAGCATCCCCAATCTTTAAGCCATTTAAAGTGCTTTAGAATACCAGTTTATTTCTTGGGAGTATATAATACCTCAGCAATAATACCTTATACTAAAAGAAGTCAGGACGGGGAGGTGTATATTCCTAAACATTTGTTTATCTTAATGCATAGCTACCTCAGAAGCAGACAGATGCCTGAGAAGGTACTGGTGGCCGTCCCCAGCAGCCAACCTTGATGTCAGCAGCATCTCCGTGGTCTCCAGCTGAAGTTTGCATAGAAAGTCAGGGAGCGGTGGCCGAGGAAGCTGCAGCTGCAGCAGGGGGTGGCAGGCAGTGGGGCTCACTGAGGATAGAGCTGGGCAGGCTGCAGGAAGGACGGCATCTTGCACACACGTTCCGTCCTATGTAGGTCAAATGATGGCTTTGGCTCCCGCATCCAGGAGGTCGTCAGTTCCTGAGGAGGTCTCGGATTATAGCCAAGCCTCAGTAGTGATTAATTTCATTTCCTGAGTGATCTATAAAAAGAAGGTTTCTGATAAGAAATCTATAGTTTCCCATGCTCCTTTCTTGTAGGTGTTGCAAAGTAGCTGAGCTATTGAATGAAGGATGTTTCATTCTCACCTGACCTCCTAGATG